CCAGATGGGTAAACATACAACTCAAAGTGTTGAGAATGGCATGCAAAAGGACCCCTTGAAACCTGCGCTGTAACCTCTGATTGCCTACATGCCTTTTACTACTACTACTACTACGACGACGACGACGACGACTACTACTACTACTTCTGCTACTACTACTACTACTACCACTACTACTACTACTACTATTACTACTACTACTACCTACTACTACTACTACCACCACTACTACGACTACGACTACGACTACGACTACGACCACGACCACGACCACGACTACAACTACGACTACGACTACGACTACGACTACTACTACTACTACTACTACCACTACTACTACTATTCCTCCTACTCCTACTCCTACTTTACTCCTGCCCCTGCCCCGATCCTGAATCCTACTGCTACTGCTGCTGCTGCTACTGCAGCTGCTGCGGGTGGTGCTGCTGCTACTACTACCACTACTGCTACTGCTAGTACTACTGCTAATACTACTGATGCTACTGATGCTACCGATACTACTGATGCTACCGATACTACTACTACTACTACTACTGCTGCTTACTACTGCTTACTACTGCTTACTACTGCTACTACTACTACTACTACTCCTGCTGCTGCTGCCGCTGCTACTACTACTACTACTACCACTACTACTACTACTACTACTACTACTTCTACTACTTGTACGACTACGAATATGACTACGATGTCTACGACGACGACGACCACCACCACCACCACGACGACGACGACTACTACTGCTACTACAAGCATCAGCGTCAGTGCCGTCGACGACTGCTACTGAGTTAATGCGACCACTATGGCTGGGCAATGCCACAGATGCTTCAACCTTTTTTCCCTGCGTTTTGGACACGAGTGCCTAATGTTTAGTTTGACGCACAGTCGTTAAATGCGTCGCAAAAGCAAAAATCCCCACGCACGGCTTTGTGGCGACAGCCTTCGCAAATTGCCTCCGCCGGCACAAACATCGCACAAGCCCGTCGTGGTGAAAAACGGCTGGGAGACCACTCCACTGAGCGAGCTCTACACCCTGGTGCTTGCTTATGGCACAAGTGTTTCGGTGCACGGAGGAGGCTTGCCCCAAATCTTTCGCTCAGATGCAGCAAACTCCCGCCCGTGCAATTTGCAGAATTACGCGCCGCGCTCGGCGAAAGCCTTCTCCAAGACCTGCACCCACATAGCTCGAAATGCAGCTTCTGAAACCCCAAATCCTACAAGCAGGCAGGAATAATGCAGCTCGAGAGCTAGACTTCGGGGGGGTTTATGATGCAGGTCACTAAGGTTGCACTGAGGTTTACAGTTTGCATAGTTGCATGTGGCGGAGGGTTTGTAACCGCAGGTGTTGGCTTCGCGTCATCCATATCTTGCACATCATCTGTATTGCGGATGTTCCAAACAACGCTTAGGAACATCAAAACCATCGCTGGACACCATCGACGGGGTTCATAATGCAACAGTCATGCAACATCAGAATCAATCGTTCATCTACATTTAGAATGCTTTGTTCCAGGGTTTTCACGCCGCAACTCTCCTTGACACATTGAATAGGCTGGTCACACA